ACCTGTCATGCATGGACGGGTTGTTTACCTTAGCCAGCAATCACACCCTTTTACACCTCCGGTCGGCCTTACCACGTCTTATCACGGGACCTCGGTTGGTGGGGTTAGAGAGCGAGAGAGCGGTATGTGCTGCGTAAATATGCCCTCACTATAAACTTATTAACGTGTGCGTAAATATGCGAGGTCCAGATATCCTATCGTTTTCACCATCTCCCAAAAAAAAACACGAGGACGAAGGTACGAGGACATGGACCGAATTATATTGAGACTGACGTTTCGGACACGCGCTCAGTGATTGCATCTTCTTCTTCTTCTTCTGAACTGCTTCCTGGAACTCGAATATTCGCTTCTATCGACTTGCTCGGTTCCATCGTCAGAGTAACTAGGTGATTGTTCCTACTTGCCGGGGCTGTTTCAGCCCTGTATTATATCCGTGCTCGACGCACGAACTTTGACCTGCCTGTGCGCTGCTGACTCGTGTGACCTTTGTCCCCTTTGCGGCTGTCGTCAGTCGGCGTACCGATTGGCCTATCTCTCGTCGACCGAAGGACTAATCATTTTTTACTGCCCGCGCGAGTGACTGTCAATTTCGTAGGCGCGGCGGTGACGTAGTGTTCCACGCTTGCCACGTGGTTCTTGGCCGGCTCCTCCCCCATTTTCCTCTGACCCCAGTTGTAGTCCACGCTTGAGATTTCCCTCCTGTGAGCCTTGTTCGAACTGATTCGAGCCGTGTGCGTAAAGCCCGGTAGGTGGGATGAAGGTCTATGACTCTGTTAAGTGTGCCAGTCGAAGACCAACGTTTTAACAGAAATCTAGCCATCTTGCTATTGGCCCGGGCAAAAACGTGATTTTTCTGCTGTGCGTGGTCGTAGACCATAGGTAGCCTATCCTTACTCACGTGCCACTCATAGTCCTGCATCCACCACCGGACATAGTTGTTCGCTGTAGTCGCACTTGTATATGTAATTACTGTGAACTAGTATGAAAGGAAGGGAGCCAGTAACAACTTCCACCCATACGAATGGCTGAAATTTGGCCCGTCGGCAGTTAGGGAAAAGTCCGTACATAGCATGCAAGGAGTCGGTGTAAATGACCGGCCAGTCATTCTATGTGAGGATCGCGCGTGCATGTCCTGATTGGCGCAACTTCAGGGAATTTCAGACAAAATAAATACAATCGCCAGGGCGGAGGACAGACGTCCATTTTACAGAAGCAAACACCTTGCTAGTAGTGTCGTATTTAACTGGAAAGGTCTATTTGACAAACATATGTTTTCAGCAATTCATCAGTGGGCCTGTACAATTTCAAGGATAATGGAAATAGGTGAGTAAGGACAGGGTAGATTAATGTCTTATGATCAAAACTCATCGAGTATCAATATCTCCTGACCTAAATCGGCGAGACGACGAGGCCGTGGCTCAATGGTTAGGGCGTTAGACTCTGATAAAAAGGATCGCGAGTTCGAGGCTTGGGTGGTGCACCATTTGGGTGTGGGTATGACTGCCTTACGATCGCTAATAAGTCAGAAATGGGCATTTCAGTCTCCCTTGCCTTTGCCGACAATAAGATCTGTCCGAAACTCATTGTTTCACGCCACCTGCATGGCAAGATCGGCAGGGAAGGGGGAAGTTAGAAGAGGCTGTGAGTATAGCTCATGGGTCGAGTACGTGGAGTAAAAATCCTTATCACTTGCAGGGAGTGAACAACTATCACCAGGGGATGAAGGCAACATGCGATCGCCAACTGGCGTCGGCGTCGGCCAATGAAAAGAAGACGATAGTGTAGGGGTCCGCTGACAATACAGCACTAGATTCACTGGTTGTACGGCTAACGAATCCAGTGCTGTCCTGTTAGTGGTGACAGTTGCTCTCTCCGTCCACGTGACAATAATTTTCGCTCCGCATACTCGACCAATGACCCAGTACTCACAGCCTACCCTATTTTCCATTTCCCTTGGTCCAGTGACCTCTACATGCCGATCTCGCCATGCGGGCGGTGTGAAAATGAGGAGTTTTGATCATAAGACATTTATCAACCCTTTACTACTCTCATATTTTCATTATCAATGCAACTATACAGGCCCAATGATTAATTGCCGAAAACATATGTGTGCCAAATAGACTTTGCTATTACTAACGGAGAACACACACCTACAATAAATATTTACCGCACCCCTCTTGCACACGCCTTCTTGATTTTCGACGCATGACTTAAGCCTACGGTTTCCGTAAGTACTGATGGCAAGAGCTTTGGCTGTACTAAAGCCTTCCACTGCTGTAGTGGATTCGGATCTCGCCAAGGCCGGCGAGTTGTTCAAAGCTGAGTCAAATGATTACTCCAAAACTGTCAACGTCCTACCCTACTAATATGTTTATTGCTTTTTTAACACCTCCCGAAATGCGGTCCAGATTTCAGTAAATCATAAACAACACAGTGAGATTTATTTAGTTGTGAATGACATTAATATTTTGGAAATTCTTTGACTGAAACACAGAAGGAATATATGCACAGCCGATAAGTTGGTTTTATCTTAACACACGGCAGCTTGCCCATCACAGATGATGAAGATGTTGGGGTTACCTGCGCGTGAAGTTGTTTACAATGAAGCAGACGCACAATGCATGAACGTTTCTCTCGCTTTCCTCCAACCTACAGTGCTGCGGTCCCGGCGACTGTAAATTGGAATGGGCGCAGTGACCGAAAAGGTCAAAAAGCCGATCTTCATGTGCCATGCACTTGCGGGGTGCCTACTATACACAAACCAAACTGTGATTACAAAAGTCCAAGCACCATTGAGGTTACTCTAAGAAGCCATTGCGGCCTGATCACCGTTTTGAGGGAGAATCGAGCTCCCCCCGTCAGTGGGAAAATGTTAAAGGCACGACTACTAGGGTACGTCTGGTATTTCGACCGTCGGTAAGGACGATTCCCACCGTGTGCCCGGCAGCATGGTGGACGCATGGACGGTTACTTGCATGCGAATTATTTTATAGTGATAGTTGACTTGCGCTGCATTACTTATGAGATACCGCACATTGAGCCCGCATAAAGATAGAGAGCGTTAAGAGAACCGGAGACAGGATCAGGTACAGTGGCTGACGCAGCTCAATAGTCCATCACACACGCTTATTCCGTGTCCAATGGACCAGTTTTTCGTGGACACAGTAACTGTTCATCTTGGATCTAAGTTGAATGGGAGTGCCATTGAAAAATTGCCACTGCAATCCGACCCTCCACCCTGAGAGCTATTCCGCCTGTTAGTAGCCTTCCAAAGTAGACGTTTTAGCGCACCATGATAATTTAAAGGCGTGTCAGATTGTTTATACTGAGGGCTATGCCCTGGTTGCCGTGGGAACGCAATCGCCAGATTCGCCTTCAAGTTCGCTTTCCTCTCTCATAGGCACCAGTCTACGGCCCGAGTTAGTTTATCTGCTGGTGCGAGGATTAGGCTCAGGTGATCAACAGAGTTAAAGAGCTCCTCTACGCGTACCACACACGACCTGGCTCCGCATAGCACACGAGGATTTCCCATAAAACCAGTGGAATTGAAGGTGGTTATATATTTGAAGAGCGTTCGGGGGCTTATCGTCAGCGAAAACTAGGTGATTTCATCTAAAGCTATCGATCACGCTCTCTCCAACATCAGTTGACAATTGTATACAAGCTGGTTGTAGATTGGGTCGCACTCAATGTATGGACTAAAACCTCCGTCTGATCGTGCCTGTACTAACAGAACGAAAGAATCTACGAATGGCCAATTCTGGCCCACTCTCTGTCTTCAGTCGATGGGGAGGGGAGGGGAATACAAATCACCTTTGTTGAAGGCTTCACATAGTCTTCCTTTTCTCGGCCGGGGATGGGCAGACAGTCATTCTCAGCTTGGTTTAGTGTTGCCGTGAATGGCTACCTTCCAATTTACTTTTTAAAACTCAGCTAAACAGGCATGCGCAATGGCAGCTAGGACTTACCTGGAGGAATTCATGACAGTAAAGAGTCTGCTTGTCCTTACAGATGTTGCGGAATGTCAGCACGACGTCGGGAAATTGGTGACACTTGACAATTTCATCCAAGTGCAACTTCACCAGGGCAATACAGGCTCGGAAGAGGATTTTGTCACCCTCGTAGAAAAGGCAATCGAAAATGCGAAGTACCGTCTAAAGTGTGCAAAAGAATGGGTGAAAAAGGCAAATTAACACCTAGAATTCGAAGGAGAAAGCGTTCAAAATGAGCTAACTTGGAAACAGGGTGGGAAGAGTCGCCCGGTGCTAGTTCATGACTGGGTCACCTAAGGGAAAAATCCGTCATATGAGAGGAAACACTAACGTAGAAAAAGATACAAATAACAAGGGGACACACATCAGTTGTCTCGGTTCAAATAAACAAGATTAGGCGAATTCTGGAAATAAGAACTATGGGGGACACAGGGACAAATATGGTTTACCTTTGAAAAAGAAAGTTAATGCAATCGAGGCCTTAACTCATGAACTGTCGTGATCACAATTCGAATGGGTAGTTTCATATAAACCTTGGTTTGGAGAATTTATTTAAGGCTCAAAAAGCCTTTTTACTAAAGAAGAGTGCAATTCTGATCTGTTTTATTGAAAGAAAGCAGGCCAGACTTGGGTAAGAACGGAGGTTTCCACATATCTAAGTAATTCCTTACGTTAATAAATCCCACAAGTTCGAACCTATTTCCTTTCAAACTTACCCAGTATCTGTGTAGTAGACAATTACATCAAATAAATCCCTTCTGATCTGCCATAAAATAATTTTTCATTGAACGTTTTTAGTGAAATAAATTATTTCCCAGCTCATAATTAATAAATCAAGCTAGGGCTATCTTCGAGGCAGGGCCGTTTACCTAAAACAGTATAACCTTCGTGGATGTGGAGTGCTTAGCCTATATGTTGCAAGGATGTTTGTACAAAGTTCGTGGCATTTTACACGCTAGGTCACGAACTGTAAAGGTTGTTGATCTGATCCTTACAGCTTTTGCAGATAAAAAGGGGGAACTAGAGTGGCATCTTTCAGCCTAAATGTCTTAGTCTGCCAAACATGCTCCAATCTGGATACGGGATAAAAGATCTGTGATAGCCTGCTTCCCTGATCAGCAGCGCGGCAGCTTATTCGTG